ATGAATGAATTATTCTCAGCCACACATTTAATTTGCCGCAAAACACTTAGGCGTACCGGCAGAATGTGTAACGGATACACATGTGTTTTTCCAACAAAACATTTTTCCTTAAAGTATGCTAATAATTACCTTAAAATAAACAAAAACATATTTTTTCTTGTTTTTTTTAGAATGCTATTTTTATCGAAAACTTATTTTAAATATATCAAAATTCATAATTTTTTAGTCTCTATAAATAGACATCTATATTTATATAGTTTTAAGATAAATTAATAAATTTATTTTTTAGAGTTTCAGCTATCGTTATTTATAAGTGAATAAAAACGCATCAGATTTTTATTACAATACATTCATTATTCACTAATGAATAAAATGCATGCTTAACTTTTTTACAGTTGAAGTATCGTTTGTATACGAATATAACACGTTATAAAGTTTTCTTACCTAAAATATTTTTTTTTACATCATCTTTCGTCACATGTTATATTTATATATGAATAAAACGTGTATTAATTGTCGTCATATGTTATATTCATATATTAATAAAACATTTCTAAGATTTTTGTTACAGTTCATTTGTTATTCATATATAAATTAGTATGTTAAAAAAAATGAAATGTTTTGAAAATTTAAACTACTTATTCATATATGAATAACAAATGAATTATAACAAAATTATGATAAATGTGTTCTTCGTATATAAATATAACTTATGAGGAAAGTTAATACACGTTTTATTCATATGTGAATATAACATGTGATGAGAGTTGATGTAAGCTGTAAAGAGTTTATTATATGTTATATTTATATATGAATGATACTTAATCTGTAAAAAAAATTAATCATATTTTTTATTCATAAGTAAATAACGAATGTCCTGTACTAAAAATCTGATATATTTTTATTCACTTATGAATATTGATAGCTGAAAATATAAAAAAAATTTATTTTAAAACTATATCAATATGGATGTCTATTTGTAGAGAATAAAATATCATGAATTTTGGTATATTTAAAATCATTTTTCGATAAAAATAGCTTCTTAAAAATTAAAAAAAAATGAAAAAAACTATGTTTTTTGTATATATTAAGTTAATGATTAGCATAGTTTAATAAACATGTTTTGTTGGGAAACACATGTGTATTCCTTTCCCATTTCCGCTGGTACGACGGAGGCTTTTGCAGCAAAAATAAATAAGTGACTGAGAATGATTCCTCAATTCTTAACTTTTTATATTTTCTCAATTGAACTTATATATATATATATATATATATATATATATATATATATATATATATATATATATATATATATAGAGAGAGAGAGAGAGAGAGAGAGAGAGAGAGTTTCAACAATTTGATAACCTTATTTTTTACCTTCTCGGCCTTTTGTTTTATAATTTTAGTTATTTACAAATTTTCTAATGTTTTATTTATTTTGATTCAAATAAATAAACTTAAATTCAATAAACAATGTCGTAACCGTTTTTTTTTAATTTTTCTTATTTGTGAATTAAAACATTAATATATATATATATATATATATATATATATATATATATATATATATATATATATATATATAATTTTATGTCGTTACGGTTCATGCCTTTTACTTAGATGCTCCATAGTTATTATCGTTACCAATTTTAAGTTTGCATTTATCATTTTCATTATTTGACATTTTGTTTTCTATTTTTTTTTATAATTTTAGTTATTTATTGTTTTTATTTATTTTGATTCAAGTAACGAAAAATAGAAAACCAAAAAAAAATCTCAAACACCAAAATTGTAATATACTCTAATATATTCATACATTTTACACATTTTTTCTTTTTTTGGTTTTTTCATATTTTTTTATAATTTTTTCGTATTTTTTTTGTGTTTTTAATTTTTAATTTTTTTCCTTCTATTTTTCATCAATTTGATAACTTTTTTTTTTGAACTTTTTCAAAAAGTGTAAAATGTATGAATATATTCGAGTATATTATGATTAATGTTTCAATGTGTGATATTTGCGATTTATAATTATTAAAATAGGAATATTAGTTAAAAAATTTTAAATGTAACTTGCAAACTAAATCCTATTTCTCTATGATATATCAATATTAAATATAAATTTTTTCAATTTGAAAACCCAAAAAAACTCGAAACATCAAAAATAATACGAAAGAAATATGAAAAAAAACCAAAAAATAAAAAATAACAAGACAAAAAGTAAAATGTATGAATATATTAATGTATATTACAATTTTTGTGTTTGAGCTTTTTTTTCTATTTTTCATTACATAGAAAACAAAAGTTTATAAAAAAAAGAAAACAAAAAGTGAAATAATGATAATATAAATGCAAACTTAAAATCGTTAATGATAATAACTATGGAGCATACAAGTAAAAAACAAGAACCGTAACGACATAAAATTTAAAAAATAGTAACAGTTCAATTCACAAATAAAAAAAATTTATCAAAAACGGTTTCAACATTGTTTATCGAATTTAGGTTTATCAATTCAATCAAAACAAATAAAACATTAGAAAACCCATAAAAAACTAAAAATTGAAAATAAAAGGTTGAAAAGGTAAAAAAAATTATCGAATTGTTGAAATTATATATATACATGTATATCAAATTTATATTTATAATTTATATATACACAAAATTTATATGTATAATTTATATATATACAAAGTTTTAAATTTATAAAATTACACAAATGGTCCTTGAGGTTTTGTTGTATATTATAGATTCGGTACAAGGATAAAATAGTTATTTAATAAAAATCTAACAACTGAAGAGTTAGTTTTAACGTTAGAATGACCATTCATGAAATTTGCAAACCACCGGCACCAAAAGCATTACGTTTTCCATAAAAGTATTTAAAGTGTGATATTTTGCAAAACACAAGAACCAATAATGAAATTTTGTCTAAAGAAAATGTTTTTTTTACTATAATATTATTAAAATATGTTTTTAATATAAACTTTTAATATGTTATTGGAATAAAAACTATATTTTATTGTTAAAATTTAAAAAGTCACCATTTTAATATGTTTTAATGTTGTATGATTGGAGTTAGGCTTTGTTAATAATGACATTAACGTTAAAATTTAAAGTCACCATTTTAGTATGTTTTGAGTTGGCTTTACTTAATAATGACATTAGCCTTTTTATTTAATAGACCGATAAAAACATATGGAAGAGAACACAATCGCTCTGTATTTGTGGATGCTGTAAGATTTATTTGGATCCACCCAAATGGTCCAAATCTATCCACCAAATCTAATATTTTAAACATTTAAACATTTTTCTTTTTGGAATATACTGTTGTAGTGTGCTACCCGTAAATTTGGATTTGCTTTCTTCAACTCTTCCCTCTCTCACACTACTCTGTGTGAGTGCTTTCTGGTAAGTCAATGGAGAGCAACGCAGAAGCTCCGCTTCTTACCTCCAAAAATCCCACACACAACACTCACTTCACCGGCGACGTCGAAGATATCCCTCCGATAAACGACGTAAAAGATTTTTTTCTTCAATTTGGAATCGAATCAAAGAAGCTCTGGTACCTTGCTGCCCCTGCGATTTTCACTTCCATTTGTCAATACTCGCTTGGCGCCATCACGCAAACCTTCGCCGGTCATGTCGGAACTCTAGATCTCGCCGCCGTCTCCATCGAAAACTCCGTCATTGCCGGTTTCTCTTTGGGAATCATGGTTCGTATTTCGTATTTACCCTAATTTCTTTCGGATGTCGTCGATTCTGCAAACGAAATTAACGATTTCAAATCGAATTTCCCCAAACTGATTGACGATTGATCTACAGCTTGGAATGGGCAGCGCGTTGGAAACGTTGTGTGGGCAAGCATTCGGAGCAGGTCAAGTGGATATGTTGGGCGTATATATGCAGAGATCGTGGGTGATTCTGTTCGTCACTGGTCTAATTCTGATGCTTCTCTACATCTTCGCGACTCCATTACTCCTCTTCATCGGACAAACAGAAGATATCTCTCAGGCTGCGGGGCAGATGGCGTTATGGATGATTCCGCAGCTGTTTGCTTATGCTTTTAATTATCCGATTGCTAAGTTTCTTCAAGCGCAGAGTAAGATTATGGTGATGGCTTACATATCTGCGGTGGCGCTTGTTCTTCATACGTTTTTTAGCTGGTTGTTGATGTTGAAGTTGGGGTGGGGGTTATGGGGTGGAGCTTTGGTGCTTAACCTTTCATGGTGGTTCATGGTGGTTGCTCAGATGATTTATATTCTCAGTGGGACTTGTGGTCGAGCATGGTCAGGGTTTAGTTGGGAAGCTTTCAGTAATCTATGGAGTTTTGTGAAGCTTTCTCTTGCATCAGCTATCATGCTATGGTAAGACAAATTGAACACTTTTCTTAAATTTAAAGTGTTTGATCGTATTAAATACGTTTTAAACAAAGTAGTGGTTGATAGTCCATGAATATATTTTTTAATAAATTGCTTTTATTAATAAATATATTAAATTAGTTTTCTTAGGATAATATTTTGTCCATAATAATATTTGAATTTTCAAATTGAATAAAGTATTAAAGTAAACTGTCTTTTTCTAATTGTTTTATTAAAGTCTATTTTTGTGGGTCTAGTAATGTAGAAAAGTGTCACACTTAAAGATAGTTTAACTTTCTTAAGACAATAAAATAGTAGTAATTCACAATATATAAAAAGCGAAAAATCAATAATATATAACAAGAGTAGATCATTTGCAAATTTATTGTTTACCGATATATTTCGTAAATGGTTAGTATTGTTATATTCAAACAAAATTTTAGTTAAAGGAAAAAAAAAAAGTTTTAACTTTTTTTTTAACAAATGACTTGAGATAGAGTTATTATTTTATCCCTTTAAAATAATATATTCGTTGAAGAGTTCAAGAAGGATGTCGTTTAGAAATTTAAATAAAAAATTGGACTTGTAGTCAAAAAAGAACCGCTACACACGTTTGTCGGGTTTCATTAAATGGCTTTATTTATGGAGGGTGTCACTCACACCCTCTGTATAAGATTATTTTGTTTTTGGTATATACTTATCTCACACGTTATTTTTTATTTTATTTTGCATTGTTTTTATTTTTCCAAAATAATTGGATAATATTAAGTTTCCAATATTTCAAATTGGTTATTTCATATTTATCAAATTTGGACGATTGGAGTTAATTACTAATATCATTATTATTGTTATTACTATTATTATAAAACCAGTAGGATTGTAGCGATAGAAATTTAAATATTAACATTATTGTTTTGACATTAAATTTGAAAAGGTTTCATATCATAAATTAATAATAAGTTATTATTTACTACTTCAAATATTATTTAAATAAAATACTGTCATAACTAAATAACTGGATTTCTTTTTCACAAAGGCTTTTATTTTAAATTTATTTTGTGAACAAAACGTATTTGTTATTACATATTTTTACATCTAGCTCATCGGTATCATATATTGTCATTTCTCTTTGAAATTGAAGGTAGAAATCTCTTCGAGACATTGGTAGAATTATGAGTAGTTTATGAATAAATTAGATTTGTTGTTTAAAAAAAATCCAAAATATATAAATTAAAAAACATATCATCTTTATACCATTATGGTATAAAGAAGTCAAAGATTTGTCCTCTTGTTGCATAAATTGATTATGGTTGGCCATAATTCATAAAGACCACAATATATTTGTTTAAAATTATCCTAGGCATAAAATAAGCTTAATAATCATTCTAAAAGAATATAGATAGATCTCAATTTTAACCTTATAAATAGTTAAGAACAAAATAATAATCCAAAACGACAAATTATTTCAAGATTTGAACAAATGACCGTAATATCTAGAACGGGCCATTTATGATTATAACAAAAAAATAAAAATATGAAATGTCAAGAATATGTTTAAAATCCAATGAACAAACCTGGAATTTTGAAACAAAATACTTCATTTTTATTGATATATAACAAAAAAAAAAAGATAAAGAAACATAGGAAAAGAGAAGTCAGTAGGATACAATGGCATAATATTAAATTTGGTTCCTGATATTATACATTCGAAATAGTCCTTCCAGAAATAAATAGAGAGTTTATGAATGTAAATAAGCTGATTAACTTGATAATGATATGTTGTAAAAATTTGGTGTAGCTTGGAAGTCTGGTATTTTATGGCATTGATACTTTTTGCTGGATATATAAAAAACGCCGAAATTGCAGTCGATGCCTTATCCATATGGTTCGTACTATGTCCATAATTACTATTTCTTAGTTATATGAATTTGTTTTCAATTTCTTTATATTTTTTTTTCCTAACAAATGTTGCAGTATGAACATTCTTGGGTGGGCAGTAATGGCATCAATTGGATTTAATGCCGCTATCAGGTTAAATTTCTCCAAATCAAGTACTTTCTTTTACACAATAAATAAATTAAAAAAAAAAAATATTTATTTGAAAAAAAAAAATTGCAGTGTAAGGGTGTCAAATGAATTAGGTGCAGCCCATCCAAGAACAGCGAAATTCTCAATCGTGGTGGTGGTTATCTCTGCATTTCTGGTGGGAATTTTGTTCGCTATTTTTCTTGGCATTTTCCGGAATCAGTATCCAGCTGTATTTGCTGATAGTTTAGAAGTTCAACAAGCTGTATATGCTCTCACCCCATTGCTAGCAGCTTGCCTTATCATTAACAATATTCAACCCGCACTTTCTGGTTAGTATTTTTATTTTGAAAATTAATCTTATTATAAAAATATCATTTATAAACTGTTTAAAATTTATATTGCATTACTAAATGGTTGAATAATGTAGGGGTGGCAATTGGGGCAGGATGGCAAGCTGTGATTGCTTATATAAACATTGCTTGTTATTACATCTTTGGCATTCCTTTGGGACTCACTTTGGGATTTGTAGCGAATTGGGGTGTAAAGGTTCGTACACTTTATTAATCAGCATATTAGTTACATAACAAATGTATTTCTTTTTTTTTATTTTGATGAAGTACATATATGATGCTAACGTTTGTAGAATTGCAGGGTATATGGATAGGCATGTTAACGGGAACAGTAGTCCAGACGGTTATCTTGGTTTGGATTTGTTACAGAACCAATTGGGACAAAGAGGTATGTTTTGTCACACTAATAAATTATTTGTGTTGACTTGTTAATTAAACAGATTTCAATAATTTACTCAACTTGTCTAATGTTCTTTTTTTGAAGATTTAATTGGTTTTCTATTTTATGTAAATTAAAGGCATCCATGGCTGAAAAGAGAATTAGAAAATGGTCGGGTCAAAAAGAGGTCGAGGGTGAGCACTAAAAGGATTATGGGTTGTTTGATAATATATGATTAATTTAGCGCTAAATGATTCGAAGGCTTTTTAGATGAATTGCAGCCGGATGAAAACGTGTTATTTTTTGTAATGTTGCTAAATGGATATTCTAAATGAGAAAATTACCAGTGTAACATTTTTTGTTGAATGAAATATTCAATGTTTGATAAATGAAACACCTCATCTTTGTATTTATTTAGTTTAAATCTTTTTGAAATCATTTATTTGATTTTAAAAACGTCATTTGCGGAAATAAGGTCTCATAGTTATAGTTCACAAAACAATAGTTCAAGCAACCACATAACACTGTGGCCTTCTAAAAATTCAAGTCTTCCTCTAAATCTTCATTTTTACTACTTTTCTGAATACGTGTCAAAACATAGCTTAAGTATTGGGAATACCTAGTGAGTAATACCGAGATTTACACCTTTTAAAGACAAAGGAATTGGCACATTCCCTTGACTAATGAGAATTCCCCAAAAATCATTTGAAAAACTTTTTGATATGAAGTTGAGCCTTTAATCATCCTCACTAAGGAAATTCTTTAAATTCTTGAAAACTCTTAATTTTTACGCATCAGTAAAACACAAGTCATTTAGTATAAAAGTCATATGTCATTATCCATCATTTAGTCTTAATCAAAATATCATCATTATTGTCATAATCAAATAGCATCATTAGTGTCATAATCAAATATCGTCATTAGATCATAATCCAAAATATCATCATTATAGCAAATAAATAAAAATAAAAATAAATAAATAGTTGATGCAATGCAATATGTTTCAAACCCTTTCCCAAGTTAATCTCATATGTCCAAGCTTGCACGTCATACAGCCATAAAGTGAGAAATTTTCTCACATCATCATCATTGTGAGAGAGTATCCAAGCAAAGGGGTCCGACTTTCATCTATTACAAGAAACACATAAGTCATAACTAGGATAATGTGCCCACTCACAAAATCTATATACAATGTAGCTAGCCTTACATGCAAGTGAGACAGTGTCTAGAGTACCATCACTAAGTCATCTGACACTTTTGGATATACGTCATCAATACATCATTTTTCATGGACTTTTAGGTTGGACAAACTGAAGTCATTTTCATCCTAGTATGAATGCACATATTCATGATGAAAGGTCATTTGAAATCATCATACTCCTTTACACTTCAAAAACATAGATTTAGAATAATATAATTTCATGAATGCATATATAGATACACATTATATGGTGGTTGTCGATGCCAACAAATAAATACCCTAAATCTTGCACACTAGATAACATATAATGGTAAAGGGGTCATATCCATGAGGATTTGTAACTCTATAAAAAACTCTTTGTAAAAATACTTGTAAAATGACAATAAAAGTAAAATAGAGGTTTTTAAGTTTTGATTATTAAGAATTTAATTAAGCTAACACAAGAGAAATACAATTTAAACAAATAAAAGTTGATGTAAATCAATAGATTGGGAATGGTTGACATTGGTATTTCATCATTTGAATATTTGGTTAATTAATCACTAGACCTCAAGGAACAATACATATGGTAAAAAAAACTAATTTGAAATAGTGAGTTAAAGCTTAAGTCACCTAGACGTTGTTGGGTTGTGAAGATAAAAACAAAACATAAAAGCCACAAAGGCACAACGAAAGCAAAACAAATAAACCGATTCCATAATCCAATAACATATCCATGTTTAACCAAATCCAATGCAACTAAATATAAAGAAGAATCAAGAATATATATCCTTGAAGCCTTTGAAATCTTCAATGTTTTTGATGGAGAGAGGATGTAAATATCCCAAAGAGTACTTAAGAATGTTCATATTTTTCGATTAAATGATTCTCCCAGTGTTGATCTGATATCGACTCGTCTTGCTCAAGGCATACGAGGTATAATACTTAGTACATGCATGTCATGACATATATGATAGATCCCACAATAGAAAGATATGAGACTCGACTCATTTCCTTTAGCTCATTAATAAAACTAAGACACTAAGCATTTTTCAATGTCATATCATGCTTTATAGTCACAAACTCTTTAAACATCTACATCTTGAGTTTCCTCAAGATTGTATGTAATATGGCTTTATCCAATGAGTATGTAACATCCTGAAATTAGGCCTATGATTTTTGCCCTCTTTGGTGATAAAATAAAATTTTAGAAATAAAATGAAATTAAACTTAATTAACTAATTAATTATAAGATAATGAAATGAGGCTTTATAAAATTAATGATCTGACTTTAAATAAAATAAGTGATTGGAGATATGGAGTAGAAAAGTAAGTAGGGACTAATACTAATTATGACAACTTTCAAATTAGCGATCAAGTGTTGACTTAGTCAAGGTTCATATGACTAAAAGAAGGTGGTTTAGTGGTCAATGTTTGAAGAAATTAAGTTCCTTAAGTTTTTAGTTAAATGGTGTCACTTATGTAAGAAATAAGGATGAAGGGACCAAAGGTGTCTCGAAAGCCACCTGCTGCTCTGGCCCCCACCGAAAAGTCACATTCTTCTTGGTGAGACGGGTCAGAGGCACCACAATCTTAGAGAAATCCTGAATAAATCTCCGATAATACCCCACAATACCCAAGAAGCTCCAAATATTTGATGCGTTTTTCGGGACCTCCCAACGCATCACAGCCTCAATCTTCGCCGGGTCCACCAAGATTCCCTCCTGGTTGATGATGTGCCCCAAAAATTGCACATCACGCAACCAAAACTCACATTTGGAGAATTTGGCATAAAGCCTCTCCCTCCTCAACGTCTCCAAAACCTCTCTCAAATGCAGCTCATGCTGCTCCTTGGTCTTGGAGTCGACCATAATATCATCAATAAAAACAATTATCGATCGATCCAACATCAGCCTACAGACCCGATTCATGAGGTCCATGAATGTCGTTGGGGCATTGGTGAGCCCGAAAGGCATCACCACAAACTCGTAATGGTCGTAACGAGTTCTAAAGGCCGTCTGTGACAACCGTCAATTTAGTCAACAAATTCAACCCAACTTGTATTTGTAAGTTAAGGTTATGTCATATTTCCTAATGTACAATTTACTATTATAATACAAAGTATCACTTGAAAGTTTCCTATGTTAAACAATCTAAACCCTAAATAGGGTGAGTGGTGTAACAAATCGATAAAACATAACTATGTATTCTTTAAGGATAGAGAACACTCATAGAACAACATAGTGGAGTTCATAATCCTAACACTACAGGGTAAAACCATAAGAAAAACTACATACACCATCGCTCTAGACTCTCTCTCTCTAAAAATCTCTCTACGAACCTCTACCCCAAATCTCTCCCAAAATCTCTCTCAAACTTTTTCATAAACACTAACATCACACTATCATTTCCTATGTTGAAAGCTGTTGGGTTTTGAGCATTCTAACACTTCCTAAGTGTACATGCAACCCTATTAAACCTTTATCTATGTTTGTCTAAGGTACATGCAAAATATTAATTTCCAAGGTTTATAACCTATCTAGCATGGCATGGGATACTTTTAAACATAAAAGAACTAGATGAATTACATACCTTTTGTTGACTGTTGATTCCTTGGAGTTTGAGAGCCAAGCACCAATAATGTGAATGCCTCAAATGGAAATCACAAATCACCACAAACTTGGAAAATGTATGAGAGAGTATACTAACTCTTAGATTTCGGCCACCACTATTACACACACACTTAGGGTGTTTTTCATGCAACATAAGCTTGTTTATATAGTGTACATGGTTAGGGTGAAACCCTAATAACCCATGTCTTTTCCTCTTCCAAGGATCCATGGGTTAAAAGCTCCATGGATCATCCATGGACTTCCATATAAGCTTAGCCCATTAACAAATGAGCATTAGCCCACACCATATAAATATAATAGCCCATGATTTAATTAGTCTTCCTTTTAATCACTAAATCAATTCATAATTAATTCAAGATTAAAACTAATTAAATAACATGACTATATATTAATATATTATAACTTATAATATATTAATAAATCGTAAGTATACAATTCTCATAAAATTATCCATAAATAGTTTGGGTGAAGTGCAACCCAAATGGACCATGCCGGGTCGGGTCAAGTATATACCAAATAAGTTATGGACTTAGACACCTTCTCCAACAAAAGCAACCCGAAAAGGGGATAGAAAACTGTAACATCCAAAAATTTTATGCCAAATTTAAACTTTTTCAATCAGAAATAAAACCAGATAGTATTTGTTTACAAAAATGTTTTCAATCATTATTCATCAGAGTGTCCCAATAACCAGATCATAAGTCAAAGGAGTCAACTCGTCGAGTCCAAGGAATGACTCGGCGAGTCAGAACGGGATCCATGTGCAAGGTTAAGTAACCGACTCGACGAGTCGACTAGTGTACTCGGCGAGTTTGGTTTGGGTTGGGAAACCCTAGTTTCGGGACTTGGCACCCTATTTAAGCATCTCATTCTAATTTCTAGGGTTTCATTTACAGCCTCCACTGTCCAGAGCGAAACCCTAGTGTCCTCCATGAAAGTGTGAGCTATTATTGTGTGTTCTTGAGTGATGTGAAGTCTAAAAGAAGAAGAAGGAGTTGGAAGAGCTAAGGAGTGATTGTAGATCCAGAAGGAGTCCCTCTTCCTCATCACTTTCTGGTAATCAAGCTCTTACCTTGATCTATGGTTTCTTAGATCTCTTCATGCCCCATTTATGAGACTTTTGAGATCATTTCCAAGGCCAACCCGAGTATTGAGCCTTTGAGGACGAATATAGATTAGATCTGAGCATTTCTGAGCTCTAGAAGCTCTGAGTGAGAAGCTTTACTCAGCTATGGTTTCCTTTCATGGCTTAGACCTCCATTATAGCTTGGATTTGGTGTTCTAGCCTCAAAACCCCTTGCATGCACGTAAAGTTAGCAACTTTACGTGCAATGCTAACATAAAGAGTCCAGATCTATGAGTTATAAGTGTTGGAATAGACTGAAATCGACAGAATAGAGTTGTCTCAAGGAGGACTCGGCGAGTCAGCTCATGGACTCGGCGAGTCGGGTCTTAAAACCCAAACCCGTCGAGTCCAAGGAATGAAGTTTCGTGAGTCATAAATTTAAACACTTACTAAATCAAAGTTCCCAAAAGTTAAACGAAACCTTCACGGTGGAGATGGCTAATGGGAA